TCACTCCTCCTCCTCAACTGGACAGAGGGGAAACAGGATAAGAAAGCTCACAGGTCATGATAAAGACTGCTTACCACTTACCACCACAGGCAAAACAGTCTCAACTTGGGGAAAATAATCATAATTTACTGTCAATTAAAATTGACTCAGGTAGTGAGAAACAAACATTAAAACAATGCCTCTCCATCCCTCTCTCCCAAGCTGTACTTCACTCCAGACTCCTCCACCTCCCACTCCAAGGAGTGCAGGGGACGAAGGACAGGCACAGCTATGGTTGGTCCATAACAGCTCCCCTCTGCAGCTCCCGCCCACTCACATATTCTCCCTGCTCTGGCATGGGCTTTCTCCCATGGATTGCAGTTCTTCATTGGGAAAAAAAAATGCTTCAGCATGGGCTCTCCACAGGCTGGAGTTCCTTCATGAACTCTCCAGTGTGGGGTCCTCAGGTGCCATGAAGACCAGCTTCAGCATCATGGAGCTGCTCCTCTGACCTTGGTGTTCCCTCTGCTGCTTCTCACTCCTTTTGGTTCCCTTCTCCTCTCTCCATCTTTTGACCTTTCTTAAAGGCATTTTCCCCCGAGGCACCCCCACGGTGTCTGTGGGGCCGAGCCGTGCCCTGCGGTGGGTGGGTTGGAGCCGGCTGGAACCGGCTGTGTCCGGCGCGGGGCAGCCCCGGCCTCCCCTCACAGAGGTCAGCTCTGCAGCCCCGCTGCCAGCCCCCGGGCACCTGCACCCGGTACACAGGTTCAGTCAAAACTACTAGTGTTATTTTAATAATAAAAAGAGCATTTTATGTGCTCAACCTAAAGCCGTAATCTCTACATAATGGATTTTCTGATCAATCACATGGGAAGAGTATTTGTATCAGACACCACGTATTAAATGGTGCTATGAGAAAAGTAGTTCAAAAAACCTAAACACATCTTTAGGTATTACATCATTTCTGGGGATCAGACATTACAGGGAAGCTCACGCTGAACTCTGCAACACTCTCAGCAGGTGGGAGACATCGTCCGCCCCTACGCACACTGCAGTTAACCACACAGGGCAGGAATTGTGGAGGCAAACCGCTGCCCCATGCAAACTCCTGTTGAAACAAGTCAGACAGCAGCCAACATAGTATTAAGTCATTTTCTTAATTATTTGAGGACAGTGCTGATAAAGGCAAGTCCTAACCTATGATTCAGCAGCCTCTTCTATCCTTTCCCCCTTTTCTCTGGAGTAATCTTCCTTTGTGCAGTACCAAATGTAACACAGCTCTGATACGGGTCTGCAGGACTCAACCGCGACACTAAGACAAATCTGATTTCAAGAAGTCAAAAATTAAAACAACTATCATCAAAAAAGGAGATCCAATACTGACAGTAATTTCACAACATAATGTCACTACATGGCTATAACTGACATTAGCAAAATGCAGCACAGCATTACTGCAGAAATGTTTGTGTATTAATGTAAACACAGTGAAACCCTCATAAATAAAATATAATGCAATTTGAATTAATAAAAGTTTGCTTTAAGTTATAAAACAATCGTAGAGCTAATATTACAACTTATATACTTAGGCTTTCTACAGTTTAATCATTATTAATGGCACAAAGGAAATAATTTATTATCGAATAGGTCAGAGAATACAGAAAGAAGGTTCTTGCAGTATTGATTTTGCACATAAAATGAACTTCTTCAGTTGCATTTGCAATTGTCGGGAAGACTTGAATAGTATTAACTCCCCTTATTATTGAGCCTCAAGGAATAGCCACATAGTCAAGATGTCAAACCTAGTTTTAAAGGCCGAAACAAAACTTATGACTGCTTTGTGGGCTTGACTAGTAAGTGATTAAAGCATAACTCTGACTAAACTGAATTTGTGCCAGTGTCAACACAAAAACTTTTTTTTTAAAGTCAGTGCTATGAATTATTTACTGTTCTCTCAAATCTCAGTATCAACACATCAATTCACTCTCGTTATATTCCTCCTTTATAACCCCTGCTAGAATCACCCTGTAACATGCGGATGGTGGTGATATAAGCCTGGAATGTTGTGAGGAACATAACAAGGATAAGCAATCATCCAAATTATTCAATGCTTTGGGGACCTAGGAAGAGTAGCTTTAGCTCAAACACACTCCCATGAAGTGTAACAGCTTCAGCGCACCTTGGAAAAGGTCTTCATCATAAAATCATTCCTGTGTAGGGATAACACTTTCAAAAACCTTTGCGTGTGACTGCTTGGACTAGCACTAAACAACCTCCAAGATGCAAAACATGTATCACAGTACAAATAATCAGTAATACCACACAAACTACCCACAATGGAAAACTGTGCTGCTTTAATGGTGCAGAATTGAACCACTAATGAGAGCCATAAGAAAGATTCCTTAAAACTATGTGCCTGAAAGACCATCTTTCCACTACCTATATTCAGGGTATTTTGTCCCCTAGAAGCTTTTAACACTGTCAAAAACAAAACTATTGGCCAAAATCAAACAAACCCACAGAAGGTACAAGTATTTAGCCTAATTTTATGACCCTGTGAAGATACAAACCCTTTCTTTAGAAACAGCATTCAAGACTAATTTGGTTTATCACACCATTAAGATCTTTAATTCTCAAATTCTAATGAAACAATGATTGCCCATTAGAAAGTGCTGAGAACAAAGCGTAAACAGGCAGATGCTGCAAAAACACTAAAACATACTCCCAAAAGCACACATAAGTAATGTTTACCAAAGTGGTAATGTTATCAAATACATTCATTAAGAGACAAATAACAAATCAGTAATGGTGTTTAAGGCTCTATTACTTCTTAATTAAGTCTGGCCATGATGCACAACTTCTGTAAAAATCATGAGGAACTCTATACTAAAATAGTGCCTGAAATTCTGAACATTTCTCTTGATTGATTTTTCTTTTGCAGCAGACATACAAACATCCATGTCCTACAAAAGCATTACCAAGCACTACTAAACCACCTGTACTGCAGAATTTAGGCCTAAGTCAAATAGTATTTCAAGAACTACTTTTCACAAACAATACTGGAAGCATGCTACTGCGTCGTAACTTCTATTGACATGTGCCTCTTCACTCCAGCTAAGGCTGAGGAAAATTGTTAAAGATTATCCTCCTAATTTGTATGTTGTAGAACAGCAACCATTGCCTTCCTTAGAGTTTAAAAAGATTCCTTATGTACAATCCTTTCTTTAAAAGAGTGTTTTTATTGTTTCACTGAAATGTAATTGATGATGACAGTTTTGTTCCAGTGAGAACTACACCAATTATCCAGCTACCAAGTGTCACACTCCAGTTACGTCTCTGTTTAGTATAGCAGAATAACTTTAGATTAACCTCTGTGAAACATGTTGGATTTTTCGCCTTTATTTCCAAAAGATTCAATTTAATAATATTCTTAGCATCTCTCAGCAGTGCATTGTGCTGGCTAACATTAGCTGAAAGAGTTTATTAAATGTGGTTTCTCAAACTAAATTACTAACCAAAACCCAACAACTTCAATCAGGAGGTTTGGAATAGGACAGAAATTACTAATCTTCCTTTACACCTTACTCTGAAAATATGAACTTTAATAAACAAAATGTATGTACCAACACTAAAAACTAATGCAAACCTGAAATACTGAAATAACTTAAAACATAGCAGTTCTATAGAAGACAGTTTTCCAAGCTCATGAGAATGTTAAAATTTCTAAACCATGATTGCAGAGGATAACATAAAGAAGTACTTCTTTACTACACAGCAGCTATTGGCTTTAACACATAATCTGGGTTAAATAAGTTATATATAAAATAGTGTGCGTTTGTAAGAAAAAGTTGAAGATTTTTCCTCTAACTGAAAAGCCAGGTAGCCTACTCATTAGTTCCTACAACTTTTCAGACTTCTCAGATATTCACACAACAGGCAAATTCCAGAAGCCCATGAAGCTTCTCAAAAGTATTTTATATCGATGTAGATAACCTGTGTATTTAACCACATTTCTATAGAACACATTCATTGTTTTTAAATCCCACACAAGTGTTATCAGCTTTCAGCAAGAACATTATGCACCAACTGAAATAAGGATGTCTCTAGTTGCAGTTGTATTAAAGAATTCTAATGGAAATGTTCACATATGAGTATCAAAATTTTCACTGCACATTAAATAATTCCACAGACTCCAGTTATATTCAAAATTAGAAAATTAGCATAGTGGTAGCTTCTTAAAGGAATGCATTTTTACTTCACACAGTTTGTTGACGAAACACTCATGGTCAACCTTGACACTAATGTGACATAGCAACAGAAGGCTTTGAAAACATTTTAAAAAGCAATCCAAACCACCTTTTTGTTATTCGATGCCGTGTTTTCTGGGACTAAAATTCTGTGCATTATGCATGATCGCCAACATTTAAACCCTGTGAAGAGTCTAATATTGTAAAACTAGCAATTCCTAAATCAATCACCAAATTATTAACGCAACAACATTCACATACAGAATTTACCATAGGTGTCGTAACTAGATTTGATACCTCAAACATTCATACAATAAAGACTTTATTTTTGCCTGACACGTTCTGACTTACTCTCATTTCAGCTCTCACTAAAAAGAGAAGAAAAAAAAAAAAACACACAAATCACTATTTCACCTGTTTCAACAAAAAGCTTGCAAAACATTGTGAGAGAAAAGATTGACATGAAGGGAAAACAGCTGTGTGTATGAGGCTAACATTTTGAATGAGAAGTCATTTTACTCTCTATGTGGGAAACAATTTTAAAATCCTCTAGCAGAAATTTCTTTACAATGCACATCACGTGCTCAATTCCATTTAAAATTAATGAACTCTCAGCTCATAATGAACTTTTTCTTTAGTGCTGCCAGCACTTTTGATAGGGTTTCCAGTATTCTCCAGATGGAAGCAGAGAAATTTAAAAATCCAAACGGCTACTGTCCAAGAGTGTCACTAAACAGTGCAACAAAAGTTGTTAAAATCAGTCTTTGTAAGACTTACCGCCAGCGCTTTAGATAACTTTGTTCTATAGTTATTTAAAACAATCGCATTAATGTCCTTAAGTGGCACATATGCAAAGCCATCTTTAATAAACACTCTTCTGGCTCTAAACAGATCCACAGCATCTGCAAGACCAACCTGAGGAAGAAAAAACACCCACATTAGAATAACAAAATAATGCAGTACAACCCTAAGACTCAAGATGAACCAGTAAATTTTTAACTCATTTTCTGTCTTTTAACAAAGCTCTATCCAGGCAAAACGCAAAGATTTGGAAATTAAATGTTGACTTTGAAATAGCTGATCATTATTTTGGTGGGAAAATACTGTTTACTGACAACAAGTCATGCCACTAGGCAAAATAAGGTATTTGAAGTTTGTATCTATGATTATTAGCCCAATTATGAAGACTTGCACTGCTTACTGATTTAAAATTTGAAAACAGACTTCTGTTGGCCCTCTGTTTCTGACATCTTGAAATATTTTTCATATAAGCTACACAGAAAACATCTTGGAAACAGATCTGCAACCCAATCAACTTCATTCCAAAGAAGAATCAGTGACTACATTAGATACTTCTTTCCTCTCTCCTTGCTCTCTTGCAAAAACAATTTCAGACTAATACAATCAGACCAAACCTAGTTTCAGCAACAGGTGTTTGTGAATGTCTCCATCCCAAACAGTCTGTCAGCCAGGAAGGTTAAGTCATTTGTCTGGGAAAGGTTAAAACTTAAGACTGTTTTTGTGGTGTAAGACATGGGGTGGCAGAAGAGAAGACATTAATAAGAGTTTAAAGCTCCCTTCATTCTCCCAGTCCTTCCCTCCACCCTTGTACTGACGTGAATTAGAGGAACTCTCATTAGTCTCAGTTAATTCAGATACTTTGATTAAATGTTAGCAATAGTATTGTGTAAACTTAAAATGAGTAACTCCCAAGTTTAACTGAAAGACAATGAATGCAAATCTGTGGAACTCAGCAACTTCTACTTACCCGGTAGAACATTTGTTCTTTTACTTTACTTGGAGTGAAGCCAGGGGTTGATATATACAGATCATTCACCAATTCATTTTTCAGGTCTTCACTAATCTAAAATTAAGAGCTTGTTTTAATCTGCTGAAATACTTCAGAATAAGGCTGCTTTTTTTTTTTTTTTTAAATTAACATGAGCTAAAAGATTACTTAATCTGTAAGTATATCATCAATTTAGTTGACAAGGGAAAAAGAATTACATATTCAGCAAGTGATCACTAATAATTAAGCAAAAACCAGCAAAACACTATTTTGCTAGAAGGTTAAATAACCTTCCTTCCGAAGCAGTAGTGCAGATTTTAAAATACAATAATCTTAAACATTAATACAAGAACTGTAAAACATGCTTTTTTAAAGTCAACCCCTTCAAACTAAAACTTGTGACAATCCCTGCTCAAATCCAGATTTACCGTATACATTAAAACAAATCATGATGACTCAATGACAATTAGTAAGGACTTCAAACAATCTTGTCAGGTTTTTAACAAAAACATCAGTTTCACATCATTTTTAAATCCAGACTTCTAAAGAAAAATGGCATATCATCTCATATTCATGGATTTAGCTCTCTTTTTTTTTTTTTTGAGAACAATGGTATACTTGTTATTCTCCAAATGTTAGTGCTTTTCCAGTTCTTAGGCAAGTTAAGCAGCAGTGGTCCAATTTAACAACTTTAAGTATTTAAGCCAAAGTTTCTAGCTTGAAAAATCACAGACAATGTTATACTTTCTCATACAAAAACTTTAATATTCTATATACATAAATATATGCATGACGCTCTGTGACTACTTAATAACGCATCAAATACAGCAGATAAACCACACTTAAAATCAGCATATTGTAATGATTTTATTAGTCAATAAATAATTTTGGGGTTTTATTCAACAGAAAACAACAACAAAATTTGAAATCTAATTTTTCTGCTTCAAATCATTCAAATAAATAAGATCAGGCCTTTAAACCTGAAAAAAAGTAATTAAAAAAATTTAAATCATAAATAATTCAATCTGATAAAAAAGATCATACACACTGGTAATGCAGCAATGATAGCTAGTAGCTTCACTACATGCAACAAACAGTCTTAAATATTTGCCCAATATGTTCTTGATAAAGTATGTAATTAGTCCCTGGCTGAAAGAGATTAAATGTTCAGGAACACAGAATGCCTTCCCAAAACACAGATGTCACCAAAGTACAACACATTGTGTGACACTGCTCTACATAAACTGGACGTGTGCTCCAGTACCTACGGAGAGGTGACACAAGGCTGCAGTCAAGATCGCTTTAGAGACTAGTCAGGAACCTGGCCAAGGCTATCACATGCAACAGATACCCAGACTCCAAATGCAAGATGAAAAAGGTACTCAGTGTTCTTCCCCTCCATGGAAAGGGATCAGTTCAGTTAAGCAGTTCAGTTTCTTCTCTGAATGGGGCTGAGTATCTAGATTGTTGACTAATACTTCTATGCAGTGAAATGGGCATTTAAACAAACCTTTTTTCCTTCTTCTCAGATGAAAAACTGAGAAAAGTAAACAAAATAAAACACTTTTCTTGGAAGTCACAGGAAGGACCTTTTAATTTCAAACCTGGAGGATGTGCTGGTTTTGGCTGGGACAGACTTCATTTTCTTCATAGTAGCTGGTAGGGGGCTATGGTTTGGATCTGTGCTGAAAACAGCCTTGACAGTACAGAGAATTTTCATCACTGCTGAGCAGTGCTTACACAGAGCTAAGCCCCTTTCTGCTTCTCACCCCACCCCACCAGCGAGTGGGCCGGGGGTGCACAAGGAGTGGGGAGGGGACACACCTGGGACAGCTGAACCCCACTGAGCTCAGGGATATCCCACACGACGTGGTGTCTTGTTCAGCATATACAGCTGGGGGAAGAAGGAAAGGGGAGACAGAGTGATGGTGTTTTGTCTTCCCAAGCCACCATCACGTGTGATAGAGGCCGGCTGTCCTGGGGATGGCTGAGCCCCTGCCTGTGATGGGAAGTGGTGAATTAATTCCTTGTTCTAATTTGCTTCTGTGCGCAGCTTTTGCTTCACCTATTAAACTGTCTTTATCTGAACCCATGAGTTTCACATTTGTATTTTTTTTTTTTCCCCAATTCTCTTCCCCATCCCACTGGGCAGGGAACAGTGAACAAGCAGCTGCGAGGTGCTTAATTGCTGACTGGGGTTAAACCACAACAGAGGAGTAGCTCAGCAAATCCCCTCTATGAAAGCGATTTGATAGTTGTATATGAAATGGTCAAGGCAGCAGTGTCTAGAGGCTTATGGTTACCCTGTCCACCTTTCGATGTAATCTGCAGTATTGTCTCAGGAAAATGAGCGTTAAAAAATAATAATAAAGCTGCCAGAAAGCCAGAAGGATGTAACTTTGAAGACTGAAGAAATGCATAGTAGCATTATATTTCTGCATGTGAAAATCTAATGCTTAGAGAAAAACAGCCTGTAAGGAAGCCAATTTTTTTTTAACAAAGCAACTGTATCAAAACAATTAAATGTGATTGTGTAAATTATAGGAGAAAACACTTTCTATAAAATACTCTCACTAACAATCTCACTCGTTAGTCTTTGAACTATTCCTGCTTTTCAAATGCAACACCCTGGAACTATATACAGATTTCACACAGTGCTACCAAAACCCTGCTGCTCCTTCCAGATGACAGATTTATACTCATTTAAACAGGAAATCTACGTCACCACATCAGCCTGCAAGCTTGTCTTTCACCTAGTATAGACCAAAGTTTTAATTCTAATTCCAGAACAGTGACTTCCATTTCTCAAATGTAATAGTTTTATGCTTTTTCAGTAGAAATTGCTTAAGAGAACCCAGTCTACCCTGTCATTCCAAACCTTCAGTGAAACTGTCTTCAAATAAAAAACAGTACAAAATATTGTATAGCTATAGTGGTTACAGTTGCATTATTGCTTCTAGGATCTCTCACTAAAAAAAAAAAAAAAAAAAAAAAAAAAAAAAATCAAACTGAGACAAGAATAGTTATTTTTACAGAAAGCCATTAAAACAGTCCAGTGACTGTTTTACAAGCAGGCTTGCAATACTGGGTGGAGAATAAGAGGGATAGGCAAGGGTTCCTTGCTTATTTGGTTTTTGAAAAAGCTCATTTGCATCAACAAAACCATTTTAATCAGTATTTAATCTCAAGGCACTTTTATCTTTTGTTATACATATAAAATAATTACACTGACTCCAAAAATCTCAACCTGTTTAGATCCTTCTTTATTAGTAATTTGACCATATCACTCTTGTACAGATGTAAAGTCACAGTGCTTTTAGATTTTCTTGCATCTCACTAGCAAAAAACTTAACACTGTTGGGGTAAAAGGGATCATGGTGAAATCTTCAGAAAAATAGGTTAATGGACCATGACTAAAAATTGTGAACAGTTACCAAACATACAATTTCATCAGAAATTGTATTTTTTAAACAAACACAATTTTTATTGCAAAACAGTATTTATCATATAAATAAATAATACTTATAAAGCTGTTAAATAATTTACTTCTTACAGTCTCAAGTATCTTACAGCTTAGGCAAACCTTCATCACCCCTACAAACACTTTGCTCCTTCCTTGCCTTTTCACCAATTCTCATTGCCTCCATTTTTTCAGCTAATGGAGAGAGAAGAAGAAACAAGGATAGCCCTAGCCCCTAACTAAAGCTGGGGGATGACTCCAGAATGCATTTAAAAATAAAACTTGTTTCCCTAAAGACAACAAAAATAACCTTTCATTACCATTAAGGATTTCACCATTTTCACATAAAATTGTGTAAAACTGACTGAAAATGCAATGCAATGCAAATAAGCCCCTTATAGTCTAAACTCAGACCCAAGCTTTCAGTTAGGTCATGCCTGTACCTCTGTATACAGAGAATCATGAAACATGTATCCCAGTTTTCCTTGGTTCATGGAAGCTGGAAAAGTTTTGGAGATTTTTTTCCATTTTTTTTTTTATTATTATTTTAATAAGAGCACTATGGTTTGTACATTTAATAATTTCATCTCTAAATTGGCACCCGCAAGAACACATTCCGGTAATCAGTAAAAAATTAGACACAATTAAGTATAGCTTTTAGGATTCTAATCAAGATTGTAAAGATAAACAGACTGCTTAACTTTTGACAGTGCTCAATGATGTTCGCCAGATAAAATACTGTGATGTTCAAAACATAAAAAAAAAAAAAAATAAAAATAAAAAAAATCAACAGAATTCTTCTGAGGGTGTCATCTGGTGCTTGTCTGACCCTCCACACTTGTGAACTAGTGAACCAGTGAATTGTTTTCTGTGAGGTGAGTTTTGCCTCATTAGTTTGTTGTCAGTTTAGTAAACTGAAACTACTTATCAACAAGTCAGTCTTTGTTTTGCACAAGCAAAAACAAAACAACACCATGAAAAGGATCTTTCCTTTTCAGTGACAGCAGATCACGTATCATAGCTTGAAACAATTCATCAATTCATCATAAGTTTCTGAGACTAAGAAAAATGAGAAAAATCAAGACATAAAAAGGGAAGGCATGAGAGGACAGGAAGGAAGCAAGGATTTGGGGCGGGTCGCATTATCTCTAGTTTTCTTGCTTTCTACATGCTGTTTATTCATTGATTTTTAATCACAGAATTGTCCTGGAAACACAAAGACACATAAATTTAGATTAAAATATTAATAATTTAATATGTAAAGCTTGGTTAAACAAACACTGGCAGTAAGGCAATCCAAAAACTTCAAAATAAATTTTATATCCCTACTCTGTTTTAATGAAGAGATAAAGATGCATGCACACATTTTACTACTACACATGCACAACTACTTAACTTTGCTGTTTCTAAATCTTCCAGTAAGGAACAAGAACTCAATGCACAAGACCTTGCCTTTTCCAAGACTCAGCTTCAGGTCTTTACGTGCACACTTCACTGGTTTCCTTAGAAAGTAAACTTTTTAAAACTTGCTTTTAGTCACTGAGCGGCTGATACTCAAACGGCACTACACCCTTCCCAAAGAGTCGGTCTCTCAATACTGCACTACACTGCAATT